CCAACCAGGTCACGTGCGTGACAAGGACGCTGATGCGGGAGGCCACGTGGGACGGGCCACGTGGGACGGGCCACGTGAGCGATCCGCGTGCACGCGATCGAACGGTCCATATCTCACGCATGCGGACGGTCCAGATTCAATCACGCACGAACGGCCCAGATTTATTTCTATTTTAATCACGATCGGACGGTCCAGATTAAATCGTGATGGACGGATGAGATTAAAAAGGGAATGTTATAAATAATCTCACCCCCACCCAACCCCAAACCCTAGCCGCCAGTACCCTCGCCGGAGAAGAAGACCCAGTCATCGGAGGAGCTAGCCGCCGCCACTTGCTGCCGCACAAGAGGATTTTTCGACCGCCAAACAAGGTAAATTTTCTCCCATTGGCTCGTTTTTCGATGCTGAATCCGTCTATGGATAAATCGGAGCCAAACCACCGGCCAATCGGTCGAAAAACACCGCCGAAGTCCAGCGGTGCCGCCGCGGCTTCCCTTAATTTTTGCCTCCAATGAGGCCCTTTTCGGTTCCCGTTTGATGCAATTTTTACACCACTTTGATCACCGTCCTTTTCTCTATAGGTTGACCAGAGCAAAACATTAAATCGCGACTTGCGCCGGAGAAGCTGCCGCACCCGAGAGCTCTGCCGCTGGTAAGTCTCAGTTTTTCGTGATTTTTTAACCCACCGAGGGCCCTAGGGTTTTTTTATCGCAGGAACTAACGCAAGTTTGGCCGAATTCGCCCGAAAACGGCCAACCCAGGGCGGATTACCGCCGCGGGCGGCGGTGCCGTCGCCGGATTACAGCGGCTCAATTTCGAAATTGGCCGAGTAGGCCTTGGGTTTGATTTTGAGTTTTTTTTTTAGACACGTGTAGGTACCGAAAGTGTGTTTCAGTTCCTGAAAAAAAATTTAGGGAATCTAGGGACTGCCCGTAGGCGTAGTGTAAAGCCGATTTCAGACTCCGAAATAAGTAAGGATTTCTCACCATGTTTCCTATCACGGTATTAAAGCTCATAAATAATAAAACGGCATTTAATGAATTAATACATGTGTATAATTAATTAAGGTTACTGATGGAGCCCGAATTTGATGTATTTTTCGGTCAGTTGTTGTTCGATCTATTTTACAGTTTTAAATGCAGTATGGTATCTGATGTGTTTATTTTATGGTTTCGTATGCATGAATCCCGATTTCATTTATTATGGTTTGAATTATGGTGAACCTGATGTTGTGTTGTTTTGTTTGGTGTTCATTACAGGTTTTCGTATTTATGTTGATTGGATAATTGAGACTAAGAGAAATGAAAAAAGTTATGTGAATTAATAAATAGATAATGTCGACAGCCTAACTAGATATCTTGGGAGATGGTGGACGGACCGGGTCCGTAGGGAACCCTACCGAGAACGTGATCTCTCATATCGAACAGGGTATGGAAACCTTATGTGTTTTGGCGCCCATACCGTACGGGGTATGGGGACGGCCCGTTTCACCCTCATACCGGACGGGGTATTGAGGTTTATGATTTTTGCGCCCATACCGGACGGGGTATGGGGACGGCCCTGGAATCAAGTTATCAATGTGAATGGTTCACGTGTAGTGGGGACCCCTATGGATCCCCATGGATACTAGTAGGCTGATAAAGAGGAAAATATGTTGTCTGATGATTGAAATGCAAAGGTATGATATGTGTTATGTTATAAAGTGTGTATGATTTCATGATATTATAATGTTATTGTTTTCTTATGGTTTTTTTATGAAGCTCACCGAGATAAGTAGACAGTAAAAGTTTTTATTATTGATAAAATAGTTTGTTGTAAATTATTCTCTATTAGTCATTTTTTTTCTACCAACCTTTACTCCTGTGGCAGTGAGATAGTGTGATGTCTTTACTAGGCTAGTATAACTCATTCCTTACTTAACCATTTCAGATCAAGAGGACTTGGTTCCCGAGCCCGTCTCGCAGGAAGACAGCGAGTAGATGACTAAAAATTTGATAGATTTATTTATAGCATCCATTACTAGTGTTTACTTCAGTTAGTTTATTCTTTCATATGTTTAATACGTTTTGGTTATTGTGTAAGGGATATTAATGAAAATTTTTATTTCGCTTCCGCACTTAAAATTTTTAATACATACATTTTCTTTTAAATTTCTGGGGTCGTTACATTGTGGGAGTTACAATTGTAATTATTGTATTGTAACTTATCATTGATTTATTTGGCTATAAATACCAAAAGAACTCTTCTTTGTGGACATCAAGAGTTGTAATCAAACATTTCAGAATTGAGTTGAGAGCGTTTTGGCTTTCTTTTCACTTTATGCACAAGGTGTTGATTTGGAATACAATTGTTATCATTTGTATTTCAATTTTGATTTCCTATTTCAATTGTTCTTGGTGCTTGTTTGGATTGGGTTCAAGGGATATTATTTATTTTTCTTGGGTTCTCTTTAATTTCACCATTTGGGTGATTGAACAAATTTGATTCTTTTTTTACTTGTGATTTAAATTCTGTTCTAAACCGATTGAAGAGTTTTAAGGTTCAAGCAAGGGTATTGGAGTTCCGCATCAGAAAATGATTAATGGCAATATAAGGTAAGGGTTCTATGAGATTGGTGATGATAGTTTTAAAGGCTGGTGGTTGAGTTCCAGGTAGCTCTAATGCACGCATGTATATAGTATCCGAAAATAGGAAAGGCACATGGATGACGATAAGCAAGAAGAGAGACATCTATATGTATATATTTTTTATTTTTCATTTTAATTTTGTTATTACAATATAAATAAGATCAAATTATTTTTTAATTCTAGATGTTATATGGCATCAAAAAATTCTCAATTAAATAATGGTGTTTGAGTTCATATTACTAACGACAGTCAGGGATCAAATCAAATTTAGAGTACATAAATCAAAATTACAAAAAATAATACATAGATTAATTTAAATATTTAAAAATAGAACAAACACCAATTTAATATGTTCACATATAAAATAAAATTAGGAAACTGCCACTAAAGGAATCAGCATACAGGGATCCATTGAAAATGATGAACAATTGGTTAGAATTTAATACATAAAGAAAATAATGGTAAAAGTAGAGAAAATAAAACAAACTGTTGATAAATTACAACAGTATATATAATTGGAATCCGTATAAGAACGTACCATTAGGTTTTCTTCACAGAAAACAGACATGTAGAAAGGCAAAAACAAACAGAGACTTAGTTGATCATCACCATTAATAATCTCCAAAACTTGCTGAAACTTAACCAGAAGGAGATGATCAGGCAGTGACAGAGAAGGAGAAATCATCATCTGTGGTTGCTTTGGACGAGTAAAGTTCAGCCTCGCTAGCACAAGATGAATAATCATCTCCATCACTGTCTCTCTCCTTCAACTCTTCAATCTTCTCTACAGCTTCAACCAGCTCACACCTCTTCTCCACATTCCATTCGCAGCAACACATGGCAATTTTCAGCAGCTTCAACATCTCCCCCTCGCAGCTTTTTGTTCCTTTCATCTCCTTATCAAAAACCTCCCCTGTCCACTCCTCTCTCACAACTGAGTTCACCCAGCTCGCCAAATCTGCGTTACTACCTTTCCCTTGTTTCAGATAATTGGCTGGGAATTTACCCGTCAACAGTTCAAGAATGAGTATGCCTAGACTCCACACGTCCGTTTTCCTAGTTGTGCGGTCGAGTTGGGTGAACTCAGGAGACTTGTAAGCCACCATTAACTGCTGAGCATGCTCCTCGTTCACTACTGGTACCAGTGCGTAATCTGTCAAGAGAGGTTCAAAATTATGATCGAGAAGCACGTTGGAGGATTTCAGGTGTCCGTGAGGGAGAGTCAAGCCTGGGAATTCTTTGTAGAGGTATGCCAGACCCCTCGCAACTCCTTTTATTATCTTCAGCCGCATTGACCAATCAAGTCCAGCCTGCCCAGCTGCCCTCCTAGCTGGAAACAGTAGACATTATATGTTTATACATATATGTTCATGTTTAGATATGTAAGAAAAAGACAAAAGGAAGGGAAGTAAAGTTACCGTGAAGAAGATTAGCCAAGCTTCCATTAGGAACAAAATCGGAAATCAAAAGCTTCTCTTCTTTTCTGTAGTAGAAAGAGACGAGGGGAAGCAGATTACGGTGAGACAAGGATCCAATTCTCGCCATGTGGTCGTGAAAATCTTGCTTCCTGACATGATCCATCTGTCTAAATCGCTTGACGACCAAGGCAGGTCCGCTCAAAAGTACGGCTTTGTAAGACGAACCGAAGCTCCCACTTCCAAGAACCTCGGCGGAGGCTCGCAGCAAATCTGTCATCTCGAACCTCTGTCGATCATTCCGCACAAATTGCAGCTTCTCATTTTCACCTTTGTTGTTATGTTCTGGGGACTGTGCTTCGTTCTGGCCGAGATTGTAGTCGAACTTGGTGAGAACTTTGGTGTCTTGAGCTTTCTTGAATTGAGCTTTCTTGGCCTGTCCACCTCGTACGTACGAAATTATAGCCACAACCACTACTAAAATTACAGCAGCCACTACTATGGCGGTTATAATAGTGATGGTCCGGTTCTTTGAGGATTTGCATGGACTCAAAGGTTCGCCGCACAGATCTTTGTTTCCTGTTTCCTCAGTTCAAAATATTGGTTGTTAAAAGCCCAGGTTTTCGGTTTTAGACTTTTCATAGAATTATAACAATTGCTTACAGATTTTTTTTAGAAATAATATTATACTTTCATTTTTGCCACTTTCCTAATCTTTTTCCTTAAAAGAGTACTGTAAATTCTTGTATATACTGAAATCAGCTAGAAATGTATTAAAATTATTTATTATGTTATTGCCTTTTATTATTAAATAATCACATTTTGAATATTAAACTGTCATACATATATATATAAATATATATATTTAAGTTTTCTATTGAAATTATATAATATTTTTTAATTAACTTGCAAAACCACCTTCTCCACAAATTCTAATTGAGTCTCATACCAAATTCCTATTTATTTATTTTTTTTAGTAAAAACTGTATAGATTTATCAAATATTCATTATTATAATATAAATAATTTTTAAATAAGGACATACATAAGATAAGATGAACAATCTAATTTGAACAAATTATTATACATTTAATTTTTAAAAAATTATTAGTAACTCTC